ACCTTTTAAATTGAAAAAAAAAATTAAACCAGTTTTGAGGGTGTTTTCTTTTTCCCCCCCCCCCCCCCACTAAATGTTACTTTAAAATTTGCTCTCCAGTTTAAAACTTTTTCTAGTTAAGTTCAAGTTTTAAGGAGGTTCCACACGAATAAAGTAGATTTACTGTAATCTTCTTATTTAGACTCGAAGGCATCGACTTCAAGGTTTCTGTAAAACAATTGGATGTAGTCGAATTCACTCCTGCTTAAAATGCGGTGATTTTTGACTAAAAATAGACTTTACGCTTTGAGTTCTGTATAATTCCTTCTACAGTTTTGTACCAATTTCCCCTCTCAAACCATAGCAAGCATAATATTTAACATAAATCTAACCAGAGCGCATACCTCTGACGCACAGCAGGGACATCGCAGCGGGATTCTGCAGTTCCTCCAAAGCCGAGCAACCCTCAGTGAGTTTCCCCAACCCAGTTGCCTGTTGCTCCGCAGTCATTTATACTCCAGCCAAAAATCTCACTCACTTTCCGCGCCATCACACAAATGAATAAAATAAAAAAAAGGAAGCAGCAATGATGTGACGCGGACAATCCGCGGAGCCCTGAGGGGTTTCAGGGTTGACTGTCACCGGCTGAGACCGACAGACTACCGGCTGAAATCCGGTAGAGCGAGGCGGCTCTGCTGCTGCGTTCACGGACCGGAGTAAGGAGTCGGAGTTTAGAGATTCCGATTCGTAACAGGTGTTTCATGCAACTTTTAGAAAAATTGTATTGACCCACGTCTTTAATATAAAGCTTTGGCCATTTAGAGTATCTTTTCTAGAACAAAAAGGTAATTTATACTTTATCAAAACCAATTGTAACCCTCAGCATGAAGTTTTACAACCAGAACCCACCAACTTCCTTTAGATAATATTTTAGTTGTGTGAAGAAATTGAAGCCATTAGTCATCATTGACTAATGATGACTAATTAGTCATCATTACCCTTCCAGTAAAGACAAAAAAGTCTCGAGTCTTCTTTCTTCCATAGTTTAGAGCAAACTCATCATAAAGAGACAGTAGAAAACAGTCGAGGGGATAAATATAAATGCTGTAAACTTACCTGGTGGAACTCTTCGTCTTCCTTCATTTTGATCCAAAGAATGAAACATTCTATCAGAAGGCTGGTGTTGTTCCCAGACCTGAGGATTTGGTTGATTTGGTCCTTGAGGTTTGGGCACCTGATGTCTTTGGTGGCTGATAGGTGCCTCTAAAGAGGGGTTTTGCTTGCATCTTTGCCCATGAGACAGGGGTAGATAATGTTGCTGGTAGGAAGGACCCTGAGACCTCTGGGTTGGGGGTCTTTGTTAGTGGTTTATTAGCTCTTGGGGTTTGGGCCCCTGCTGGAAGTTAAAGGCCTGGTTTGGAGAATTTGGCCTGTGGCTGGTTCCGTGGGACTCTGGCCTTTAATATTGCCGATGGTTGCTAGGTACCTGAGGCATAGAGTTTATGGGAATGTTCTCCCTTGGTGCCCAGAAACATGGAACTGAGGTTTCTGCTGATATCTTGGCACCTGAGTTGTAACCTTGATTCACAAAAGGAACATGGGGAAACTTTTCTTGATGGTTGAGGACCTCAGACTGCGAAGAGGGAATCAGTTGGTAGCCATGAGGGACATTGCTCTCAGCAGGAGCAGAATCATGAGGGAAAGCTGTGAAACAATAAGTTATAAGCTCCGGTGCCCAAGATATAGAGTGTATGACAATCCAAAACTCATAATTCAAATGTTAATCAGCAAGCTGACATTCAGTTCTGGCTTGGAGCTCCCCAATGAACAGCAGCCAGAGCAGCACCAGCCTAGAAATAAATCAGGTTAAACCATAAATATAGATCATTCAAGGAAATGTTTAAGTCTGAAAATAACTGCCCCCAAAAATGCTACCATTGAATATTTGCCATGGCTTGAGAAAAAGTCAGGAAAACAAACATTTAGAAATACCTGTAAGACTCAACAAACTAACCCAGTTTATGTCTTTCTTCTTTCCATAAAGCTGAGAAACCTGCTAAGCATTTAACTAGATGTGAACTAACCAATCACAGCTGCTTCATCCTGAACGCTTGACTGACATGAGGTGGATCTAATGGAGGCAGGTTCAACCTGCAGGTGTTTCAAGAAAGAAAGCTTCATTTTATGTCTGTTGAGAATTTTTATTTTATTTCAAACAAGTTTTTAAAAGACCGAAAGACTGATTTTATGTAAGAAATGTTACTTTTAGTAAAAACTGAGGAACGCTGAACATTTGACATTTTACAACTGAAAAAATTCAAAGACATCTTTGGAAGAGGTAAAATTTTTATTGATTTTTTTTGTAGTTCTTAAAATACCAGGTAAATATCTGAAAAGTATCTAAGCTCATAACATCCTTAAGTTAATTAAATATAATGATTTATTCTTTGTAATAAATGAAATATTTGCGCAACTATTGCCAGATAAGGGTAACTTCTCATTTTGAGTCATATTATATGCAATATTTACATAAAATACAAAAGTTACTTCAACATTTTCTAGCTGATGTTCCTTTCTGATCTTATGAAAAATATTTTATTTTCATATATTCTAAGACATGAATGCAACACATAACTTATGTGACTGCTGTATTTAAAACATTTTAAAATGTATTTACATTTTTTAATAGTTGTATAGATATAAAATAAGCCTCTGAACAACGAGCATGTGTTTTATTTATTCTTTTACAGTTGTTTAAGATTGCTTTGTTGTATTAAGGTTTGATTTTGGATACTTTCATAAATAGAACAATTTATATGTATATTTGTACAAAAAGCTACTTGCAGATCCACTCTGTGAGGGATCCATGTAAGATTATACAGCTGAGCAACGGATGCCAAAGATCAGACTCTAGTACAGAACTTCCACTCATGTTATGTAAACAGATCTTTTTTTTTAATCTGAAAAAAACAGAAACAAACATTATATAATGAACTACCTCGTCGGTAGTACTGGGATTATGGGGAGATCCTGTATGCACATGCAGCTGCCGTTATCCTCATCTCACCGGACGAGACCAGATCAGAAAACGTAGAAGCTATAGTTCTTAATAAACTCAGAGTTAAAGACACCAGAGCAGGTAAAATGATGTTGAATGTATATTAAAATGTTTATTATAGCAGAAACTAAATATTTCATTCAAAACTTATTGTGAAACTTGTGGATCCTTTGAGTAAGTGTTACATCATCTTTGGTTTGGTACAAAATCAGTTGTTTATAATTAATTAAACCAGAAATTAGTATATTTCACCTATATTCTGCAAGCATAAATCCATTACAAGTTGATTTAGAAAAAATGCAGCTCTTAGCTACTCCTACAGGACACATTCTGTCATCTAGTGGCAGAAAAAGGGAGTTCATTGGTCAAGTACAAAAAATCTCCTGCCAAAAATGCATGTGGAGAGTATTAGGATATTAAATCCATATTAAACCCATACTAATAATTGCATTACCTTTAGGTTGCCAGTAGGGCCCTCCCATTCAGCATGGTGGGATGTTTTGTGATCCAGCTAAAAGGTGGAAAGAGCAAAAAATTGGTAGAAATGTTGATCCATAATGATTATTTTTAATTCTATCACGACATTCACCAGAATTATCAAATTAAAACCTAAAAAAATTTGCTTTTTGCAGTTGTCACTCTGGGAATTAAACAGCTAACTCACAACTAAACTAAATTTTCACAACTGAAACCACCCATCACTCTCTTTACCCAGTTAAACCCAATTAAACCCAATTAAACCACTCCAGCAGTTTCACTTTTGCAACATTACAATCCAAACCACAACAGATGACTGGTTTAAGATGCTAAGTACGTAAACAGATGGTCAAAAATCAAACAAGTGGCGGTGCAATTATTTTATTATGGATATTTGTACTGTCATTTCTTTTTAACTTGACTAAAAACTGATGTGTAAACATTTTCAGATAAAGTACTTAACATGGTTTTATTATTCATGCCAACAAGAGTGAAATACAAAATTTTTCTGGTAGCCCTGATACCCCATCAAGATATGGGGTATCATGATGGGGTATTCAATTTGCTAGTTAGTGCTTAAGCCTTTTCAGAACAGCCTTGAAAAAGAGTTTTTTGTTTTTTTTGTTTGTTTGTCTTTGTTTTTTATTAAACTGCAAAAATTCACCCTACTTCAGCATGCTTAAAAAAGTTATATTCAAGTACCAGACATACAGAACTTTGGTTTTGGATGGTTGACTTCCCTCACCACCCAGACAGATGCTTCAAAGTTACTATATGAATAAAGCACCACTTTACCTTTCCAGGAATATACTTCCTTAATTCAAATTAGTGTCCAACACTGTAACAAAGAATTAGAAAAACCCAAGAAATGCAGTTACCACATGTCAATGTATTGGCTTTTATTTTCTGAGTTGTCAAGTTTTGGCCAACTTAATAAAGGTACAGCTGCATGGTTGGAGGGCTGGAAAGAAAAAAAATATGAAAAGAAGAAGAAGAAAAAGAAGAACAGAAAGATGTACAATTTTTCTGCCACATTTTATGCTTAGTTTAGTTCACATAATCTAATGAGTTTCTGGAATCTGACCAGGTGTCCATATTTGCCTTATTTTTGGTGATTTATTGCAGGAGGTCCACTTAATTTTATGAAAATGATGGCAGCCAGCTCAATTGTGCAGTGAAATATATCAGTAAATTTCAATTAATTCAATGACAAAGCAGGAAACTGTTTATTTTCTGAATGAATTTAATGTGCTTAATTGTGCTAAATGTCATTGTAAAACGTCCTGTTTGATTGTAATAAAAAATATGACCACTAGATGGGGCTCATTTAACATAACAGAAGAAAGGCTGATAAGGTAAACAGATTTGACATTTAATTATATGATCCCACCTTAAATGTATTTTTTCTTTATGTTTGGTAGTAGAGGTCAAGCTGATTTACAAAGAACATGATACTCAAACTAATCTATGAGTCTAACATATCTACTATCATTAGCATAATTTGTAATTAGCTTACATCATAACAGTGGCTATTATGGCTGTTGATTTTAACCTCGCAAGGGAAACAAACAAAAAAATAATTTGGAGTTTGAAATGTAGAGAGGTATTTAGTGTGCCATTTTTTAACTATTCAGAAGTAACATCAGCTGATGAATAATACATTTACAGTAAACAAGTTGAGTTTGACATCTTATACATCCCCAACAGGGACAGCAGCCACAGGAAGAGATTAACTGTTATTTGCGTAACAATATAGAAAAAGTATTTCTAGGTGTAACAGAATTTACACCTAGTTACATTTATTCAGGCACATTTACTTGAGTAATGTTTTTAAAAGTACTTTTAGGAGTATTTTACTATGATATTCTTTTTACTTTCTCTTAATTATTTTTTTTTATAAAGTAATTGCTACTCTTACATGAGTAAAATTTCTGGATTTTCTGGATTATTCACAGTTCTCAAATTCACCTGACACAGACACACACAGTTTTTGTTAAAGTTTTTTTTATTGAAAAAACTGATTTGGAACATTTTTTAGTTTGCCTATTTTATTTGTTTGTTACTTTATGAATTATTGTCATTTATGTCCTTCAAATACCAACATTTCTACTTAATTTTATTTTTTTTCTTTCTGAT